CTCCTTTCCTCTGCCTCTGTTTAATAGTCAATACTGTGGTGTAAATTTATGTAGTTAGATTCAATAAATTGCAGCTTTGTCTTGTGAAATGTAAAGATACATCCTCAAATTATATATCCTGGATATATTCTGTAATTATGGGCAAGGATGACATATATTCATGATCCTGTTCATGATATAGATCAAAAATATCCTGGTTCAAGATATAGTTGAAAGATATATCCTGGTTCAGGATATAGTTGGAAAATATAGGATATAGTTGAAAAATAATGTATGTTGATTCAAGATATAGTTGAAATATATATCTTGGTTCAGGATTTAGAGGAAATATATAACATACATGTAGTTGAAAAATATATCTTGGTCCAGGATATAGTTTGAAAATATATCCTGGTTCAGAATGTAGTTGGAAAATGCAAGATATAGTTGAAAAATAATGTATCTTAATTCAGGATAAAGTTGATAAATATATCTTGGTTCAGGGTATAATTGAAATATTCAGGATACAATTGAGAAATAATGTATCTGGGGTGGGATGTTGATTTTCCAGACACAGCATTAGGGTGTTTCACAGTAGGCCAACTGGCAACCAACTTTTGCAAAGTTGGAAGGACGAAGTTTGGCCAACTTCATCAAGTTGGGATCCAAATTGTGGTCCCGATGCCAATTCGGAGCCAACTTTGATCCCAACTTCACCTCTCAACTTCCCATGTGTCCAAAATAGGCAAAAATCTGCACTTGGAAGTGATTTCAAGCACAAATCAGCCCAACTTCATGTTTTTGGCAGTTCCAGGTGTTTCACAGTAGAGTTGGCCAACTTTCCCATCAAATTTGTTGAAGTTGGCCCACAAGTTTGGATCAAAGTTGAAAGCAAAGTTGGCCTACTGTGAAACACCCTATTGGAGAGGAAAGCTGGTAAGTTGGTTGTTGTATTTCAAAGTGTTCCTCTTGCTAAACTAAAGTGATGGAGTTGTTTGGGGTGGGATGTCAAAATTTCTCTAATGCGGACTGTATCCATAGTGTCATTTGAAGTGGATAAGAAGGGAACCATATAAAATACAAAGAAGAACCCCATATTATGACATGGTGAACAGAATTTGTTAGAGGAGAATGGAATTTGTTGTCCATAAATTTACAATCAAGAGTCAAGGGAAAGAGAAAGAGAGAGAGGAGGAGACTGAGAGGAAAGAGAAAGAGAGAAACAACAAAGTACTTTGTCAACTCTGACTAGCTAAAAAATTGTGTAATGTGAACTATATTCATAGTGTCATTTGAAGTGGATGATAGTTAGGCAACTCAGATGTTATGGAAGGGGGTGTGGCAAAATAGCTTCAATATAGCAGCATGGTGCTGTATTAAGAACAATTCTAGATGTTTCTGAACTTGTTGATGAAGAAGCACTCATATGACACCACCATGTCCCCACCTGAGGTAGAAGTCAATCATAAGTCGACAAGAAAGTATCACCCTCTTCCGAAACAAGCAGAAGTCAAATGTTCAAGATGGGATGTCAGTTGGCCAAACAGATCAGCATAGAGATGCTATTGATGCTCCTTATTGCTACCTACATACTGGGAGCACAAGCCAAACATAGTGCCAAAACCCCTGGAAGTCATGGCAGAAACTTCCAGAATATATACCCCAGACAGCAAAAAATCACAAGTTTTTTTGCTAAAACTAAGACCCCTGGCACCACTACAGACCAGAAAAATATATCCTTACCACATCTGTTTCACAAAATATATCCTAAGGCAAAGCCAGGGCAAAAATATATTTTTAAGGTGTGACAGTGACATTTCAGGGTCCACTGACCAAAAATATATCCTTACTGCATTTCACTTGCAAAATATATTTTGGTGGTGTGACACAGACATTATAATTTTTGTGTGACATTTCAGGGTCCATGTGTCAAAAATATATTTTAGATTTCAGGGCTTTCTAGGACCCATATATATCTAGAATATAGATATGGTCCATGACATTTAGTCATGTAACTTACATGGAGTTTGCATGACTAATAGTCAGTTGGCACTGGGTGACTGAAGTGAAAAAATACTGACCGACATCATCTTCAACGTTGGCTTGGCTTAGTGGTTAAGCTGGGAGGTGTACGTAGTATATGTATGTATGCCCTGGGTTCAAATCCCGAACAAGTCATAGATTCGCATTTTGAAAAGTTTTTTACCTACTGCAGGTAAAAGATACTGACCGACCTATGTATGCCAGTTTAAATCCTAAACAAATTTTTTACTTGCTGCTATTAGAACGACATGGTCAGCAGTTAAAAGATACTGACCAACATGGTCTTCCACCGTTGGCTTGGCTTAGTGGTTAAGCTGGAGGTGTACAGAGTGTATGTATGCCTGGGTTCGAATCCCAGAATTCACTTGCAGCGATCGCAACTCTTTCGTTTTTGTAACTCTGGCTAAAATTTACTAATCAATTCTTACCGAGCTTGCAGACCCGGGTTAGTTGTCTTACACTGGGTAAGTTACAAAGTGCCGAGCTTTCAGGCCAGGTGGATCATTGACTTGGCTCAGTGGTCAAGGTGGGAGGTGTACGCATTGTATCTATGTATGCCCTGGGTTCAAATCCCTAACAAGTCATGCTGTTCATCCTAAACAGTTTTTTACTTACTACTATATTAGAGTGACATGATCGTCAGCTAAAAGATACTGACCAACTTCCTCTTGCAGTGCTGACTTGGCTTAGTGGTTGAGCTGGGAGGTATGTATGCCCTGGGTTCAAATCCCAGAAGTCACATAGAGCGAAGACGGCCTTTTTGTAACACTGGCTAAAATTTACTAATCCAAGGCTTGTAACATCCAAAGTCCCAAGAACGGGTAGTTGTCTTATGCTGAGAACAGGTGACTTACAAAGTGCTGAGCTTGGACACCCGGGTTCAAATTGCAGGCAGGTAAAAGATACTGGCCGACATCATCTTCCAACATTGGCTTGGCTTAATGGTTATGCTGGGAGGGGTACATCGTGTATGTATGCCCTGGGTTCGAATCCCAGAAGTCAGTTACACCTATTGCAACTCTTGTTAAAATTTACTGATCAATGCTGGTTTGACCAATGTTGTCTCGGATCATGTTGAAAATTTGAACTGCAAGTTCTGCCTGGTCTGCCTCTGCTCGGCTGCTAAATTAAAGGCCAAGCTGAAAACGATTCGGCTTGAAAATGCCGGCCTCGGTGATGCATCGGCTGATGAGATGTTCATAAATTCTTGTGTCCAGCCGACTCGGTGATATCCATAAACCATGACTACCATGTGGGTCTCACCAGCTGACCCTGGTAACCAGAGTTGAGGGCCCTCGGCCGACGACCAACCCAGGCAAATTCAAAATGTCTGCCGACCTTGCATAGCCTACCTGCTAATCAGAAGTGAAGGCCCTCAGCCGATCACCAACCCAGCAATGTTCAAAACTGTCAGCCGACCTTGCATAGCTTATCTTCCATCAGCCGATATACAAATACAATGTTAAAAACTGTCAGCCGACCTTGCATAGCTTAGCTATCAGTCATCAGCCGATATACAAATACAGTTCAAAACTGTCAGCCGACCTTACATCGCTTACCTATCAGCCGATATACAAATACAGGGACTTGACTTCCCAGGGCAGCTTCCTACTGCTAGGTTGGCCGTTGACAGTGAGATTGACAATAGAGGGAAGTGTTTTCCTGGATTGGCTACTGCAAGCAGCAACTTGAAGGGCTGCGGTGTTGACTATCGCATTACTGCCAGGGGTATCCAGAGCACTACACTTCCAGGTGAGACAAGCGGGGTTAATGAAATGGGGCCAGATTACCAAGGTCTTTACCATCCCCCACGTAATCCATCTGGATTCCAGTGGCCCAGTTGCTAGGCCAGATTGGCTTGCACAATGCCCAGTCCACTGGACTCAAGTCCAGTCCAGTCCAGTCCAGTCCACTGGACTCTCACTGGACTACAAGCCACTTTCCTGAGTCCAGTCCCAGTCCAGTGGACTATGAGTCCAGTCATAGTCCACTGGATTCCACTGGACTGCAGTGGAATCCAGCAGTCCAGTGAGTCCAGTCCATCATTACTTATGGATATCAATTACTACCAAAAAAGCGAAATTAGACTATACAAATGTAATGAGTTATATAGAAGTATACACAAGTACTTGTCGTAACAACGATCAATGATTTTGTTCAGTCTGCGGGGTGTGGCACGTGACGTACCCATGGTGTTCAAACATTGCCATACTGTCACGTTTGCCTTCTGCGGCATACTCACATCTGCGTGACCATCTCTTTCTCTTCCACCACCACCACCACCACCCCTCGCCAACATCCTGCACCCACCACCACTCTCGGCCATCGCCACCGCTCTCAGCCACGTCACCGAAGCAACACGCTGAACGAAACGAATGAGGAAACAAGGGACCTAGCCCAGTCATGGGTGCCGGTGCCACGTCGCCAATAGCGACATGGCGACCAGATGACGAACGACAACAAGCGTCGTTTCTCATCCATGGGTGAGCAACCCAACTCCACCTGATCCACTCACCCACAGATGTCGACCCGGCGACAACACGTCGACAACGACCACAACAGGTGCCAGCAACCCCACGACGACGGCACCACAACTCTACGCAACAACCGCAACACGTGCAATGGCAACCCACGTCACGAAGCAAACGAAGACATGCCAGGACAACGACACAACACGAGCACCCCCCACCACACATGAAAAGCGACGAGCGCCCACGAAAAACGATGAGCGCCCACGAAAACGATGAAACCCAGGTCACGGCAAATGACGAGCGCCCACCACTGTCAATGAACCGCAACGAGCACCCACCCACCCCCACACACGAACGACGATGAGCACCCACAAAAAACGTCGAAAAACGATGAGCGCCCACCACCACCCACTGACATGACGATGATGTGTCAACGACATGCCAGGACGACGACATGATGCGTCCACACGAGCACGCACCCCCATCATACATGAAAAACCACGAGTGCCCACAAAAAACGACGCATGCCCATGAAAAACAACGAGCACCCACCCGAAACATGACACACGCCCACGAAAAACCACCAGCGCCGACGGCACGCCAATGCGGAACAGCGACAAGGGCCCAGCACCATTGTCCCACCTGAACTAGCAGCCAATGGATTCCCACAAACCTCCACATACACACAGTCCCTCCACACTGCATACATCAACACCACGAAATTCTGCCCCTCCAGACTACCAGATGTATATGGCATCGTATCGTGCTAATTCAGCGGGTTCACCCAAGGTCTTTATCATGCCCCACTGATTCCTGCCAGATTCCGGTCATTCCTGTGGAATCCGGCGGAATCCAGAGGAATCAAATTTGGCAGAGACACCAGCCAAAATGACATTCCGGGGGACAAATATTCCTCAGGAATGATGTCATTCCTGATTAGTAGCCGGAATGGTCCCCGGAATGGACAAAAAGGAATGACACCGGAATGCAATGACTGGAATTTACATTACTAATCAATAATATTAATAAACATTAATATGCCAATGCCCAAATCAAGCCTCGGTGTTTGCCGACATTTGATTTGGCATCATCCACACTCACCCTCTTCTTCCTCACCCACCACCATCATCAACGATACACATCCCCACATCACCACACCACCACTCCAACGGACGATGACAGACAACAACAACATGCCAATGGATGACACAACACGTCAGCGGACGACAACAACGATGATGACGGACGACGACGGCCACGCGTCGACGGACAACAACAGACGACAATGACGACACATCAACGGATGACACGACACATCAGCAGACAACGACAACGACGGCCACGTGTCAATGGATGACAATGACGACACATCGATGGACGACAATGACGACGACGGACGACGAGGACGACGACCACGTCAACCGACGACGTCGACGAGCCCCCTCCCTTTACCCTCCCCCTTCCTATTCCCTCTCCCTTCCTTTTCTCTCCCCCATCCTTTGTCCTCCCCCTTCCCTGTCCCTCCCCTCCCTCATCCCCCTTCTTTATTCATCCCCCTTCCCTGTCCCTCCCCTCCCTCTTCCCCCTTCTTTATTCATCCCCCTTCCCTGTCCCTCCCCTCCCTCTTCCCCCTTCTTTATCCATCCCCCTTCCCCTTTTCCATCCCCCTTCCCTTTACCATCCCCCTTCCCTTTTTCATTTCCGCTTCCTTTTCCCTTGCCCATCCCCTCCCTCTCTAGTATACACTGCATGTAATTAAATATATATTGTATTATANATTGAAATACATCATTTTTTGTGTAGTTCTATCAAATACACTTTGATTTTCCCTATTCAAGTCTAAATATCATAGGGAATTCTTAGGATTAAGTTGTGAAATATACATTTTAGGCCTTCCTGTTGCATTCCTGTGGATTCCTGTGGATTCCTGTGCCATTCCTGTGGATTCCTGTGCCATTCCTGTGGATTCCACTGGAATCCGGTGGAATGCCTTCATTCCTCAGTTAAAACACAACTTGTGTATGAATTCTAAATGATGAAGAGGTCTTTGGCTGGAGTCAATTTCTCTGAAACATTGAGCTATATCCCCAGGAACCTACAAGATATCAGAAAGACAAACCACAAAGTTTTGTAATGAAAGAAGTGGACACTGCACACATTTCTAATGAAAAAAGCGGACACTACACAATTTTATAATGACACTTTACACATCCTCTTGATAAATATTTGCAAAAATATATCCATAGTATATATCCAAATAACAGGATATATGTATTTAATTGATATATCTGAAGTTATACATATATCCAAGAACAGTGCAGATATACTTAGTATATTCATATGTAGAATTCAGGAGAGAAAGGCACAGTTTATTCAATATAACTACATAATGTTACATTACTACATTAAATACTAAATAAAGGGAAGGGGGAGGGAATGAGGGAGGGAGGTTGTAGGCAGTGAGGAAGAGGGGTGGGGGTGGTGGCCAATGAGGGAGAGGGGAGAGGGGTAGTGGCCAATGAGGAAGAAGGGAAAGGGGTGGTGGGCAATCAATGAGGGAGAAGGGAAAGGGGTGGTAGGCAATGAGGGAGGGGGAAAGGGGTGGTGGGCAATGAGGGAGGGAAGAAGGGAGTGTAGGTAATGAGGGAGAGGGGGAGGGGTGGTAGGCAGTGAAGGAGAGGGGTGGTGGGCAGTAGGTAGAGGGGCAGGGGGTGGTGGGCAGTGAGGTAGAGGGGAAGGGGTGGTGGGCAGTGAGGGTGGGCTATTGAGCCTTGTCGACAGGTGTGGGTGGTGGGCACTCATAGTGTCTTTGTCATTGCCATCTGTCATTTGTAGGCCCTCCTCGTTGTCATCCATTGTTTGCACACCCCCGTCGTCGTCATGGTCCGTCGTTTGCATGCCTGGCTCCTCGTTGTCGTCCTCTGTCATTTGCACGCCCTGCTCCTCGTCGTCATCCATCCTTTGTACACCCTCCTTCTCCTCCTCGTCCATATGCTGTTGTTGTTGTTGTTGTTGTTGTCGTCTGTACATCGTTGTTGTTGTTGTCCATATGCCATTGTTGTTGTTGTTGTCTGTACACCGTCATTGTCGTTGTCGTCCGTCAGCTGTATGCCATCGTTGTTGTCTGTGTCTTTCACCCTCTGGTGTCCTTGTCACTGGGGATGCTTCGCGTCATGGCATGGTGATGTGGGGTACTAACCATCAATCACCAGTTGGCAGTCGACAGTTGTGGTGTTGTGTTAGTTATGTGTGTGGTAGTAAACGTAGGGGGGCTTACCATATCCATTATATACTGTCAATGACGACGATGTGATCATCGTCGTCGTCATCGTCTGTCTGTGTCGCATAGTGCCATGTTGCAGACTGCGACGTGGCCCCACTGGCTTGTGAGGTCGTTCGTGGCTTTAGGGCCATCGTGTGAGCCGCTTGTGGGCGCTGGTGGTCGATCGTCCTGGGTGCTGGTCATTGTTTGCCCATTGTTGTTTCTGTTGAGTGGGGTTGGCGTGGTTGCTAGGCAGCTGTGGTTGTTTGTTGGGTGTTGGTTGTCGTTTGCCAGTTGTTTTCGTCGCGTGTGTGGTTGTTGTCTTTTTTGGGCGAGTGGGGTTGTTTGCGGTGGTGGGGGTTCCGTTACCTGGCATGGCAGCAGTGTGGTGGTGGGGTGGATGTCGGTGTTGACGTTGGAAAGATGTAACATCAGTAAGTCACAGCATGTGACGTTGTTCAAACTCACCCGCATGCCCAAATTTTAATCTGTAGTGCCCACTACTTCTATTCAAATTCTGTAGTGTCCATTATTAAGTTTTGTAGTATCCTATTTCTCATTTCACAACCTTGTAATGTCCACTTTGTGGGAATACAAAAGCTTGTAGAGTCCAGTTCTTGGGACTATCAAAGTTTGCGGTATGCTTGTAGTGTTTGCTTTTTGGGACTATATAAAAATTTGTAGTGTCCTCCTTTTCATTACAAGAGTTTGTCTTGTCCACTTTTATTACAGAAATTTGTAGTATCCTCTTTTTAAGAGTACAAAATTTTGTAGTGCTTGATTTCTTTTACCACAAAAGTTTGTATTGTCCGCTTTTTCATTACAAAATTTTGGAATGTTCACTTTTTGGGACTACAAGAATTTGTAGTCTCCTCTTTTTTCATTACCCAGTTTTTCATTACAAAATTTTGTAGTACCAGCCTTTTGAGACTACCATTTTTTATTACAAAATGTTGTAGTGTTCGCTTTTTGGGACTACAAAAACACTTCAGTCACCCACTGACAACTGACTATTAGTCTTGCAAACTCCATGAATACTACAGGACTAAATGTCAGGGTGTATATCTATATTGTATATATTCTGGGGCTTATATATCTCCACTTTTACCTAAATATATTTTGTTGTCCAATGTCACACTAAATATATTTCTAGTGTGTCACACACCCCAAAATATATTTCCTCACTGGAATGGACTCCAAATATATTTCTTATGCCTGGACCCTGAATTGTGACTGTCACAATGTAGAAATATATTTCTTGTCTGGGATGGACTTGGGATATATTTTGCAGCTAGGGTTGACTAAGGTTATATTTCTTCAGCCACAAGGGGTGTCTGGGGGTCCTATATTTAAGAGAAAAACTTGGGATTTTTTAAATATAGGGGACAGGGGATTTACCTATTATTTTGTAGGCAGAAAACCCTCATTGGGATGTCATTAGAAATGTGTGCAGTGTCCCCTTCTTTCATTACAAAACTGTGTAGTATCCGCTTTTTTCATTACAAAATTGTGTAGTGTCCGCTTTTTTTATTAGAAAACTATGCAGTGTCCACTTCTTTCATTACAAAGGTGTTTTTTTCACTACTGTACGTAATCAGGAAGCTGGCCACTTATTTTCTGCAGCTTGTAGTGCACAAAATATCCAAAGTTTTATATCATTGGAAAGCTTGAGATTAGGCCAATTGAGTGAAAATTTAAAAAAAATGAAAAGTGTTGATTTAAATACAAACTGGATGTGGCCAGCTTCCCAGTCAGGGCCATGTTTATGGTCTTTTTACACCAAAAAAAAACACTACTGAGTCAAATTTCAATTTAGAATTCTAAAATGTACATGGTAATTAAGAGGAGAAAAATGCCTAACGGAAAATGTCAAAAAAATGACACATAGTGCGAAAAACTCCGTTGTTAACTAGGACAATGAGTTAAGGTGGCCAGGATCCTGATAAGGCACAGTATAAATTTGTGTAGTGTCCACTTGTTCATTACAAGTGTGTAGTGTCTGCTTTTTTCATTAGAAAACTTTGTGGTCTGCCTTTCTGATATCTTGTGACTCCAGCCAAACAGCTCTTCATCATTTGGAATTCATACACCAGTTGTGTTTTGACTGAGCATCAAGTGTCCTAACTTTCCTCTTGAACAGCATGTGACTGTAGCCCCAACAGCTGGCAAATCAATCACTGAGAATGTCTTGAAAGAGATCATGTTGAGGTTGGCTATGGTCAGACATAGATGGACAGACATGAGTCCCCAGGGGGACACAATGAATGTTGGGCAACATGACTGAAGCTGGCCAAGGGGACAATTAAGACACTTGATGCTCAGTCAAAGCACAACTTGTGTATGAATTCTAAATGATGAAGAGGTCTTTGGCTGGAGTCAGTTTCTCTGAAACATTGAGCTATACGCCCAGGAGGCTACAAGATATCAGAAAGGCAAACCACAAAGTTTTGTAATAAAAGAAGTGGACACTGCACACATTTCTAATGAAAAAAGCGGACACTACACAATTTTCTAATGAGTAAAGCAGACACTACACAGTGTTGTAACGAAAAAAGCGGAGACTACACAATTTTCTAATGAAAAAAGCAGACACTACACAATTTTGTAATGAAAGAAGGGGACTCTGCACACATTTCTAATGACAAAAGCGGACACTACACAAAAGTGTACAAAAATTTGTAGTCTCCCCTTTTTTCATTACAAAGTTTGTACTGTCCGCTTTTTCATTACAAAATTTTGTAGGACCTGCTGTTTGAGTTTTTAGTGTCCCCTTCTTCAGACTACAAAAGTGTGTACTGGTATCTTGTGGACTCTGAGAACATTGAGAAGTAGAGCTACTTGTACTAAAAGAAATGTATCTAAATATAAAAAAGAAAAGAAGTAGATGAAAGTGGTACACTAAAAGGTCATATGATAGAAAATCATATGTGTCTAAACATAGAGAAAGAAAGGTCATACACTACAGATTTGG